GAAAAAAAGAAAAGAAAAAGAGCCAAATAGAGTGAAAAAAAGAAAAATCTATGCTTTAAGCATTTCAATTTGGAAAGCAAATCTTGAAATTTAAATTAGATATTATAGACCAATTTGTTCAGAGATTCTCTAGCCTACCAACTCACAGAAACTGCAGAACATAGAAAAAAGAATTTACTTTTTTTTTATTATAATTTACACCAGTTTTCAACCAATGGCAAATAGGGTGATATCCTGCCTTTTAACTCACACCCCTTGGCATGGGGTTGGGGGAAAAAGAATAAAACATAATATGATAAATCAAACACCTAGGTTAATCAGTAGAAATTTTCTACACATATTTAGTAAGACCAACATCAAAATGAAATCTAAGGAATAAATTGTTATACTGGAAAAACAACTATCTGGAAAACTAAACAAACATGCAGCCTCTATCAAAGTAACCTGCACTCCTTATGGATATGGGTTAAATGGCTCTTTTAGACTTTTACTCTGTTTTATAGGAGATAGTAATTGCATGTGTTTACTCTGAATTATGACCATCTTCACAGCACTTCATACCGTATCTATAAACTACTGTCCTCATTCCTGTGTCTTTTAGGGTCCATGTATAATTAATTCCCTTCACCATCTGGACGTCCTCAACTCAGAGAGTGAGATGACGCCAGGTTTTCTGCCCACACAGCACAGGCAGCTTCCCTGCAAGGGAAGCTCATGCAAACCCTGGGGACTGTGCGGGTGCCCTTTGGGAAAAAACAAACAAGGCAATTATCTTGTTTTCTACTCACACGTCAGGCAGACCAGCACAGTGCGCACGAACAGGTCTACCACTAATTCACAGTGCTCAGGCACCCGGGACACAAAGAAGGGGATGATGATCTCAGCCGGGACGTAGAACTGGAGCGCGTAGGTGAAAAAGATCCCGATGGAGTACAGCAGCTTAACCGACTGGTACAACCTGTCAAGAGAGCCAGGACACCTTCGAAGCCTGCTCAGCACCCTCACCCGTCAGCGGGGAGCGTGCAAAACGGCCCCGCTGCAACTGGGCGACACCTGTCGAGGTTATAAACGCACATGTCCTTTAGACCAGCAATTTCAGGTCTAGGTAACATGCTGTGTGTATAATGTGCACTGAGTTTATCTGTGGTTGAACTTAACACCCAGAATATGTTCTTATGCTATAAACAGGAGAACACCCTTAGAAAGACGTAGTTTGGTAAAAGGTCTTACTTGCTCAGGCATAGATAATGAAATCTCTTTGGGAAAAATCAGCTGGTGGCTCTATAATTAAACAAGGAGCAGCCCCAACACCCTCCGGAGTGCTGCAAAGTCTGGAACCAGGAGAATGACACCCGCAGGGACGGCCAAATAAACTGCACCCACATGGAGGCAGAATGATTCGAGCGGCTGGGTTTGGGGTGTCAGGAAAGGAGACAGATGCTCGTCTATGGCTTGAGATCACGTGGGCTGCTTCTGCTGCTCCCAATCCATGTGTCTTCTGGGGAAAGGTGACACAGTGACACTGAGCTACCACCTGACTCTTCCCTCTTGGAAGGGCAGGAACATTTGGAAAGGTAAAAGCAGGTGGAAATGTCCATCACCCTGATTTGATCATTACACACTGTATCCATGTATCAAAATAACATATTCAATGTTATTTGTACATATGCACAATTATTATGTAACAATTAAAAATGAATTAAAAATAATTAAAAAATAAAAGCAGGCAGCAAAGAAAGACCTTTTGAAAACAATGGCCCACTTCAGGGCTACCACTTTGGGTGTGCAAACTTGATTCCCAGACCCCTGCTGGTTTGGGTGCCCCTTGCTAGATGTTGACACTACGGATAAATATTTTTCTCAATTTGCTCAATCTGTCCTTACCCAAAGTCTCACTGACTAGAGGTCTAAAAAGGGCACCCAGGCAGATTAGCCAGGCTGGACTGAGAGGTTATTCTGATCCCTGGGGCACTCAACAAGCTCCTCAGTATCTGCCAACAGCTGCTCTCCACAGTGAATTTTAATCTTCCAAACAGCATGGTTGTTTAGCACACACCCTGTGACATCTACCTCTTTAGAAAGCATTTCGGTGTGTCTCAGCATTTCCCTATAATACATCCACCAAGGAAAGAGAGGTACAAAAGGACTCCTGGCAACCCCCAGTCCACCGTGAGATACTCCCACCTGCACACAAGCCTGCAACTACCAAAGGAGAGGCCGGCAGAGGCTGGTAACTAAATACAGATTTGCTCTCCTCTCTCCCCATCTACTTGGAATAGTACAAAGTGAACCGACTGGATACTTGGCCCTTCTGGGCTTAGGATTTCCAAGGAAAAAAATGGTCCATCAGTCAGCGGATCAACCAGTGGCTTTAGCAGCAGTGTCCACAGGACCTCTCACCCAAACACAGTGGCAGCAGTGAGGGCTGGTGGTGGCCTGGGGGATGGTAGCAGCGGTGGGCTGGAGTCAAGTGGGCTGATGTAAGAGGTCAGTAAGAGTAAGAATCCACACTCTGACCCACTCATTTTTAAAAATATCCAGTGCTCCCGGGTTTCCCTCCTCCTTCACGTACCAGCAGTTGGGCAGGTTGAGGGTTACGCTGCCTTTGATACTAGATCCAAATTGCAGGTACCCCAGGCACCCCAGGCTGATGTAGAGGGCAGTGACGATGACCATTCCCACGTACAGGATGAGCGGAAATTTCTGGGGATCCTTCATTTTGTTTTCAAGAGGCAGAACCTATGAGAGAGTAGTGAGAGAGGAGAGAAAGCACGGACAAAAAGCAAAATTAATGGCCAACAAAAAAATTAACATCCTCAGAAAAAAGTAACTTCTTTATCCCCAGAAGTCCCCAAAAGCGTATCTGTCCTTTACTAGCCAAGCAAACAAATCAAAGTTATTTCATCAGAAGTTATGCTCTCGGGACTGCAAGGGATTCCACAGCCCACTGCCTAACCAGGATGTCCTAAGAGGTAAGGGTGGGGCAGGGCTGGAGCCCAGGAGTCCTGCCCCAGGCAGCAGTCTGTCCTTCTGCTGCAGGAGGACAACCTTAAGGTTTACAACCTTAGGACAAGCAGAGATTTACACGCAGTCACTCCTGAAGCCTCGCCCAGGATGTCAGAGCCTTGACACATCAACACCACCTGGGTGATTCCTCAGGATTTTGACAAAAAAA